CACTGCTGTCCAGGCAGTGCAGCGACAGGATCACACCGTCAATCCATCCAGCTCATCCACACATCACAGCTCTGTTTGCAACAAAGGAAGCAGCAACTGCTATACATTCCTCTCCCTATAGCTGCAGAGACATAAGCAGTAACAGCAGCGCGGCGAATACTTTCTCCACAAGTAGACACAATGGCAAAAAAAATACATTACAAGACGACGACGGCATTCATCTGCATTGTTGTTCGGTGTCAAAAGTGAGGAGGCAATTGGGGATCCTTCAGCTAAGACGAGGCAACGGCACAAGCTGTTATTGGCAGGGAACAGATGTTTGAGGGAAAGTTGGCATTCAACAACCATTCTTCTTCTGACAGAAATCAACAAGAGAAACACAAGAGACAAGCCCTGATTGTCACCCAATGAAAGAGAAACCCTTAAATATACAGCGAGGCTGGCATGCAAACATTTTTTGATTTTACACCCCCAAAACATCTGACTGCCGGAGTTGCCAGCGTTCACGGGCCAAGGGTGAAGCACGGCGTCTACGACTTCCACAGCATTAGCACGCTTTTCCCTATATTAGAACACTAAGTCGTAGTAACGAGGGGGGAAAAAATGGAGTTGTGTTTGTGAGAGAAAAAAAAAAAATCTAGCAGCTCCGGTCCCTCTGCTCAAAAACACAGGCACATGCTCGTTGCACATAGTGTACATGCACCGATGTATACACAAGCAAACACACACAAATTCAGATACAGGATGTTGGCAGACAATTCAGTAAACACTCCCCTTATCCCTTACTACTGTAATCTGCCTCTGATAAATGCCCCTCAAAGATAGAAATGTCACCTGATATGGTAAACAGTATGCTGACATCACATAAAGTGGCCTTATGCTAAGGAGTTGGAGAGATTAACTGTGGAGCGGAGATGGGAGAAAATGGTCTCCACGATAAAAAAAACAGACTTCTAGCTCCTCGCAGAGAACGCTGTTTGGCTGTCATTCAGCTCTAAACTGACTAGCAGGGAAAAGCAGGGGGGCTAATTATAATAATCCGAGGGTTGTGTGTATGTTGTGTTCTATTTAAGGTACCTCAGTGTAAACAGGAGCAGTAAATAATTGGCTGCAATTAGTATTTATATTTTTAACGATTAAACTTTTGATAATTTTCTACATAAATGCCAGACATTTTTTGAAAAGTGTCCAGTTTCAAAAGATCCAAGCTGATGTTTTGTTTTTACAGTAAAATATAAAAAATATATGTATTCCATTATGCTATTAATACAAAAAGGAAGGTAATCTCAATGTTTGAGATGCTAAAAAAGTGAATTAACTATTAATCAATTCTCACAATTAGCAACGTTTCCATCAAAGGCCGAACAATCGAATATATAAAAACAATGCACAAAACAGGTCATATTTACCAAAGCATCCCTAGCCCCTGTTCCAACTTTAACCACAGGTCATTATGGGTCAAAACAAAACATTTGTGTAACTGCAATGGAGCAGCATTACAGATCTCTATCACGTGAGAGGACAAGTCATTTGGACAGTGTGACACGGTGCTGAGCTCAGGGGACTTGTGCACTAGCCGCTCCGGTGCTGTTCGAACTTACAGTAACAGAGCAGCATAATCACTACAGTACGCTGCCTGATGGTGGGTGGACAGAGTGGAGTAAGAAAAGGAAGCAACATGAATTCTCAGAGGGTCCATACGGAGAAGACAACAGTAAAGGGGAGAGCACTAAGTCAGTTTAATAAGCACATTTGACATTAGACGTCCGCACATGGCCTCAGAGGGCCGCTTCGATATGTTCCCATAAACACTGGCGGAGGCACGCTCCCTACATCATCCAGATTCCCCTTTATGCCGCGAAACTTTGGGGGGCAATTTTACAGAAAAATTACTCTGAGGGGCCTGGTTTCATTTCAGCCATGTTCATATCTTCCCTTCCTATTAAGCATCAAAATGTTCTCCTCTCAGTGCGAATAGAGTATGGACACCAGCAGCAGCAGCAGCAGCAGCAGGGAGAGGCCGAGGGAAGAGGTGGGGGGCGGGCGGGTGGAAGGGAGGGGAAGGAGGGAGGGTGAGAAGAGAGGATAGAGGAGAGAGGGAGCTTGGTGGAATTCACACATCATATTACAGCAGCTAATCGCAATCCGCAGAGCATCAGCGATATTTTCATCATTCCTGTCAAATTCTACTGACCCGCCTTGGAACAGCTAACAATCTGGGCAATTTATTGGCATATTGGCACAGGGTGATAAGGCTAAAAACAACAGCAGCTAGCAGCTGGCCCTGCGAGATGAGCTGATAACATTGATATGTGCTCCCACACAAAACACCTCCAACCACTATCTGCTCTTTCTATCTAACTCTTATTACAATAAAAGTGTATGGCTTTTTTTTCCTTTCTTGGAAAAGCAACAAGGAGGAGGGGGGTTACACAGAAAAGGGGGTCAGAAATATATATTTATATCTATATAAAAAAATCAGATGTAATGTTTCAGGGGGAAAAACAAGGGGGGAAAATACATAATTTATCACTGTATTATCGGGATATCCAGGCAGCCTAATCAAGGAGCACTGAGTGACTATTTTTTGCCTTATCATCCAAAGTGGTGGAAACGGAGAAGGAATTATCAGCCAGCTGCAGATTGCTGGGCTGGAATTTTAATGGTAATAATCGGGTTTCTGATGGTATATCTTCCCTGCTTATCTTTCCCATTATCTGGCCTTATCGCCCCAGTCATCGGAGCAAATTAATGGTGCTCTTTCAGCATCGCCTTTTTATCACCGCTCAGAGAGCACCCAAGGGGAAAGAATAAGCAAAATATTAAAATACTGCATAAATCACAATTTTAGATAACGGTCCAATGTATGCAGGAGGAGGGGGGGTGGGAGTGCGCCCAACAACCTTTTTGTCCTTTAGAATGACTGTCTGTGCCTGACTTTCTGTGCACTGCCTCCCCTGCCTTTTTTTCCCAGAGTTCCCGGGGTAGGAGAGAGGATCTAGGCTCCAAGTGACCTTTTCTGTTTCTAACTATCTTGATTATACCACTGCACAGCGGCTCCATATTAACAAGATCTTACACATGACATACTAATTCACACAAGGCCAGGTCACGAAGCACCACACAAACGTTAGACGCTCTTTTTGCTCGACGACAAAATTTGGATGCTACGATGGGATTGGTCCAGAGATGAGTGGGCCAATCACGTCATACGTCGTCATGCTTCTTTGTTGACTTAAAGTGGTTGCAGGTTTGTGGTGGATGCCAACAAATACATAAGTACAAACTCAAAGATAATTAATAAAAAAGGATGATTCTGAAAAAAATATTTTTCCATATAGAGTTTATGGCAATCAAAGTGTTCTAACTGTATGAGAAATAAGTGCAAAACGTTTTCACATAATATTAATAAATACAATGCTAAATTGGATTATCTTAGAATTGAATATTTATAAATAATAGATACTGTTGAAAAACAATTTGAAACACTCATAAATCCTAATTGTGTTACCAGAAAGGCAACAACAAATTATAAATTCCAAACCATATTGCCCTAAAAACTTAAAAAATGTTATCCCCAAAAATATTTCAAAAGTGAAACCATAATAATTAGAACAAAACACCACGACACACAAATGTCATGTGTCGCAGAATCGTTCACACACAAATGTATTAAAACAGATTTGTATACTAACATGCACATGCCCTCATGAATGCATGCATGTGACCTCACACACACATGCAAACACACACACCCATACACAGACACACACATACAAATGTTGCCTTAGTTCTGAATTCTCCCTAATATCTCGATGCAGATACACAGTATCCTGGGCGCGACACAAATCAGTGGAAGTGGTTAAATATTTGATATTTTGATCCCAAAGTAACCATTCTGCTTTTTAGGCAGGACAGCAGGCAGCAGCAGACAGGAGTAACGGCAGACACACACACACACACACACACCCCCCCCACACACACACACACACACACACACACACACTGTACACACACTCTGATGTCTGCTGGAGTGTGTTTGGGTATGTGTGGGTGTGTGTGTGTAACAATCACTACGTATTTAAGGATGCTCTACAGGCCCTTTAAAATCAATAAAATGATGAAAAGTTCTTATTAAAAATATAAAATATGTTGACAATAATTCAGAAATGTGAAAGTGACACACTTTTTGTTTTATTTGCACCATAATGTTTTACTGTATTAATATTCACAGCATTCAAAACAATATTCCCCCTAATTCAAGGTTTCATTTAAACTACATTTACAATATTAAATATGTGTAAATCAGAATCAGAATAAAACGTGCTGTTAAGAGCAATTATAGAGTTCAGTTGCAATTATAGAGTTCAGTTGAATTGAAATTATAATATTTCATACCTTGCTAGTGCTACACTTTGACTGCCATACTAAGCTACAGCCAATAAAGATTAATATTTAAAAAGGCTTTACTGTGGAGTTTGTATAGCAGTGTGTGCACACGTATTCATGCAAAGACACCATGTGCAAGTAAACAACATGATGGAGTGTGTGTGACACGAGTGTGTCTACAAATAAAACATTTCATAGCAATGCAATTCAAAAGCAAATCGGCCTTTTAAAGCAATAACGTGGTACACTTCCAGGATGTAATAAGGCCTGGAATTAAGAATGGTGATTAAAGAGTCAAAGTAGCTGATAGACAATTTTGGATGAAAACTACAATAGTCCGATCAAACGGACAACAAATAAACTTGATTTTGCTACAACTTGGAAACTTTTCCTCCGGCAGCACGGTGGGATTTGGATTGTAAATCATCTTTTTGAAACACAAACCTATCTGCAGAGGGACGGAGCTGGACCGTGACAGGCAACACATGAGGGGCTGCTGAATCAGCTCCTCTGCGGTCACTATCACCACAAAACCCCGCAAACTCTGGGAAAGCTCGGAGAAGCGGAGCAGCGGCTCAAAAAAAATGAAATAAAGGACAAAATAAACTTACGTCTGATCTGCCTGGGGTTGCTCTGCTTCCTTCGGGACATGCCTGCTGTGCGGCTGGTCAGTGAATCCAGGTGTAGTACTGACAGATCGATAGGTTCTGGTTCATCCAAGCAGCCGGTTTTGGGTTTTTGTCTGATGGTAAATTGAGAAAGAAAAAGAAGAAGAAGGGGGGCACCGGTACTTTTTTTACGCACAAGTCTATCGTTCCGTCTGTCTTTCCTTTATCTTTCTCGTTTCTCTGGCTCTGGCTGTGGCTTTCTCTCCCTCACACACACACACACACACACACACGAATACACACCCTCCTTTGCTCTATCTCTATTGCTCTCTCCCTCTCTCACTCTTTCTCAGCACCGTGCTCCGTGATGAGGCTGCGCTTCGCCGCGATCCGCACGGACTGACTGGGGAGGTGAAAGCATTTCGCGCTTTTGTTTGAAGATAAGGTTTGTTCCTCCCCGGGTACCGTAGCCGCAGCTCGGTGAACTTCACTTGATCCACAATTACTTTAAACTTCCCACCTATTAATTAGCGTCGGTCTTAATTAGCGCGCGTGTTTTGGGGAAAATATAAACGGAGATGGAGACACACTGAGCTCCAGCCCGGGATCAACATGAGCCATCGCAGTCACAATAAAAACATCATATTTTAAGATGCCTTTTCTCGGGTAAACATTTTCTCACACCTCTCATTAGTAGGTTTAAAATCATCAATATGATTAATTTAACATTAATATTTTACCAATTATGCGACAAAGCAGGTGTTTATGGGATAATTTAATACAGAATGTGGTTCTATCAGCAGCAAATCTGAACCTTTAATGGCTGAATACTCCAGGAATAGCTCAGATGCAGCCTGGCCACTCATTCCCCCATAATGCACTCTGATCTGGCTTGAGATCCCATGACCCAAGTTATTTGACCTCTTGGCCAAAAACTGAAACAAGTAACTTACAATCTAATATTTGTATAGCACACACAGCAAGTTTATAAAAGACTGGTGCATTTTTTGTACTTTTGTTTATTTATTATTTTTAAGGAAATGTATGTACAAACCAATGCAACACACGGCAGGATTTACAACATAAGCTAATTTACAATCCCCTATATGGGCCTTAATCAATAAAACTCAGTTAAAAAACTGAAAATACAGTATAAAACACAATCTCAATAATATTAATACGTACCAAAAACACACAAATTCAGAATACAACACAAAAACACACATAAAACAATTAAATTAAGCACCATAAAACAAGAAACACTAGATCATTCATATCTGAGCTGTCTTTAAACGCTATTTCAATTTGAGTGTAACATGATGTTGAGTGAATGAGTTCTGTAGGCCTATGTACTGTAGGGAATTCCACATTTTGAGCAGCAAAAGTAGTGTGTCCACATTTGGAGTTACTTAAAACATCTTACCTCAATATTTATACCAAAACATTTGTACACTTGCTGTCAAATTTATTCAGTGGATTTACAGCTTGTTAATGCCTTGTTTATTCATGAATATTTGATAAACTGTCAATCATATCATTGCCTACAATTAGCTTGCCTATGGACAGAGAAAAATATTCGGATTATTTAAAGCAGGAGAGAGAGAGAGGAAAGGAGAGGCTTGAAATCATTCAGATTTTGACTGCCATGTTCTGAATAGTTGCCCAAACTGGAAATCACTCTCTTCAATTAGCCAGTTGGACTGCCAAGGAAGACAAGCAAGTGGCCTGTGAAATGATCTTGTAACCCAATTCCACAACTTTGGAATGGAGTCTGAAACTACAGAATAATTTATGTGGCAGACGGGTCAGCGACGGTTCACCTTGAGGAGAGCATCTGTCTCGCGAGCCTCCTTGGTTTGTCTCTTCCTGCACCCCCCAACCCCCCCTCTCCACTTCAGCCTCCTGTGGCTGAAGTTTTTTCTTTATTCTCCACATACAGCTTTGGTCAGGATCCAAACACAAGTGATGTCATGGGACAGTGAATCATTTCATATCTCAGCTTTGTCATAAATCATCACCAAATCTGTGTTACTCTTTTTTAAGCCAGCTTTATTCCAACGTATTAACACATGTTTTATTTATCTTATCATGTATGGTCAATAAACCCCATTTATACAGAATGAAAACCTATTTTGAGGTAAAAAAGTGCACCAAAAAAATATTATTTTGACTGCAGTTAAGATCAGAGGAACATATTTTGATGTATGTATCTCAAAGTTTAGTCAGGATTCTATTTTGAAACCATTTCAAATTTTAATGGCAGCACATTACAATACCAGATGCTATACATTTAAATAAAACACGATGAATAAAACATATTTCAATGTAAGTAGTGAAGTATGAAATAATTCAAGTTGTTTTTGTGGCACCAAGATTAAATCACACCTTAATTCTGACAGAAAAACATTTAGAAATGGGTCAAAACGGACCCGAGGATGACAGGAAGGATGTATTGATAGACAAATAGTGATAAATGTGAGAATAAGACAATTAAAAAAGGTTTATTTTTTTAACTTTTCTGTCAAACTAGTCCAAAAAAATCCACAAATCAAAAAGTAGTAAATTTAAATGACTAAACTGCCTTACACATCCTTGAAAATGACATCCTTAAATAGCATTTACTGGCCAATTTAGGGAACCCAGCACCAAAATCAATAATGATTTGTGGTAAGAGCAACAACACAGAGAGAGAGGGAGAGTCAAATTGCCAGCTGAAGATTAATTTAACGCCACTCCTAAATCCTCTGAGACTGCAGCGAGGTTCTTCTCTGCTGTTCCTCAGCCCCAGTGGCTTGTTTGAAGCCGTCTTTGATTGACAGGTACAAATCTGCGAGAGGAACAGAAAGCTTTTTTTCACTGCTCAGACCAGATGGTTGTGATAATTAACATGATACTGTTTCCATCACAGGGGAAATCACTGACACAAGGTTGGTCATATTAATAGGTTAAGGTATACTGTATGCTGTGGAGATGCTGCACAGTGCACTCGCTTAATCTGATTACAGGGGGAAAGGTTGATTTAATGCGCTAAATCATTTGATTAGAACTGCCAAGTCACATTTGGGGAACGCCGTTCAGGGTCGGGGCGTGGAGGTGGGCTGTCTGGTGGCTTCATCATGTTCATACTTAAAGAAAATATGCTTCAGAAGAAAGTGTGTTTCCTCATTGGTATGCCCAATACTGCTCGTACTGAAGACAGCACCAACTGGGTCTCATTCAGAGCCTGACAATATTTTGTGAGAGTGACATGTTGATATTAAATAATAGATACAGCTTTTTTTAAATGATGTGTTTACTGACAGCTCTGTCTCAAGCAATGGCATGTTTCAGAAGTGAATGAATAACATGTTTTCTTCAGTTGTACCTATGTTTTACTGGTCATTTTAAAAAGTACATTCATAATTTGTAAAAATAAACATGTTGTTGTACCCTTATCTTCGTGCAGAAACTCATATTTAACAAATGTTTTAACATTATATAGTAAGGGACTGTGCAAAAAACATTTTGATAACATAAGGATAGCTAAAGCCTATTTTTATATGCATGACCTACCATAGCCTAATTAATATTTTATTTGCACCCTCCATTTACGTCCCAAAAATGCAACACTATTCCGAACAGTATCTCAAAATATGAGAATATTCCATTGGAACAACTCACTTTGGCGTTATGCAGTAGTGAGAGTATTTAAGATGTTCAGACAGTTATATGTTTTTTGAATGGGAGTGGAATTACCAAAATTAAGGGAATCATAGATAAATGAGTTGTTCTATTTTATTGAATTTCCCAGAATATGTTTTTTTTTTTTCAAACATGAGTAGTCACTGTCTTTTGGTATGACACATTTAACAAAATAATTAACTGTACTTCTGCTTTTAGTGTTTATTTACTTGTTGCTGATTTAACGTTGAATAACAAATTAATAGCAATTTTACCTTTTGAATTTTTTGTGAAGAAAAATAACCTCTCACACAATGTTGTCAAAAACACAACACACACCTTTAATGACTGGCGGGCATAGAAATAAAATCACGTTTTTGATGAAGATATTTCACTTTTTTTTCCTTCTCTAAAGAGGAATCAAATACATTGATGAATAGTCAAAAGGCCCTCTCCTATTACCTTGAAACATCTTGGGTGCAAAATGGATCCCTCCCACTTTCTGACCCCCACTCGTCTTATACTTATTTTCCAACAGATCCTAAATCACATGTTTTTGCATTGTAACAAAGTCACAACATTAATGCAACGTCTTAAATGATCATCCTGTGCAGTAACTTCCCCAGGTGTTCCCAAACGTTGTCATGCCAGCATTAATTTAACAACCATCCTAAACTGAATTACTGCGATAATAACGACTGCAGTCTGTTTCAATGAGCTGCTGTGGAGACCGGGTGATGTCACAAGGAGCCTGGCAGGACAAATCACAGGTTTTTATAAGGGGTCATACATGTCCGGTGGCGCTGCGAGTGACAGCCATCGCTCGGACGGGGCTCCATCCTGAAGGAGCAGCAGCAGCAGAGAGAGGCTGCTGCTGATGGGGTGGCACCCTCTGGCTGCTGGGGACTGGTGTGTCTCCAGAGGGTGTAAGGACTGTGTGTGTGTGTGTGTGTGTGTGTGTGTGTGTGTGTGTGTGTGTGTGTGTGTGTGTGTGTGTGTGTGTGTGTGTGTGTGTGTGTGTGTGTGTGTGTGCGTGCATGCGTGTGTGCGTGTGTGCGTGTGTGTGAGAGAGAAAAGACAGAGAGAGAGACAGGGAAACAGGGAAAAATGGAAACACATCTGAAACAGGAAGTTGTTCAGAGCCAAAGTAAAGCTGCAAAGTCTTTTTGTACAGTATCCCATAATTCTTTGCAATTGGGTGTACTGTATAATGTTGGTCGAGATGACATTTTAGTATGTTTATTTTACAAATGTAATTAAGTCAAAGTCAAGTCAAAGTTAGCTTTAATGTCAATCTTTCAGTTTGTGTGTACAGACGGAGAGGTATTTTGGTTTGTTTAGAGTATTTTCATTTCCTGCTAATTTACACCTCTACTTCCCTTCAATGTAGAAGCACTTACATCCTATATTTGATAACATTTGAAGATTTGGTTTCAGTAAACACATGAGAAATGTTTAATGTATTTTTTCTAGTTCATGATATTTGAACCCTTGGGGAAATTCACAAGCAGGCAATAATATATATATATAAGCAAGTAAAAGAAACTAAAACAATAATGCATCAATAATTACAGTAAATTAATATAAAAAATATTGTTGTTAAATAGGCCATAGTGTAAAATGAGTTTTAATGTTGGTACTTTGCGCAAATTAG